TCCTACTTTCGTAGTGATACTGCCTCGGAAACCCAAGGAGGGGTCGCTATGAGTCGGGTCCGACTCGACAGCACATAACAACAACAACAACATATTTAAAGGAATGTTTTAATGACACATATATATAGAATTACAGGCATTTTGAAGATCTAGGAGTGATTAGAATTTTGATTCTATCAGAAGTAAACATTTTACCAACTGAGTTTATTTATATATTTGAAATATAATCAATTAAAACTAGACAGTAAGGCAATTAAGGAGTATACTGAATTAAGAACAATATAAAAATTAGATACCTGCAAATAATGAGAACAGTCATCAGTACAAGTGTCATTTTCATAGTTATAGTTTTTCTGCTCTTCATACCAACTTCTGATAGCAACACTTGCAGTAAATTCATTTTCAGGGCCAATCCAGATATTTTCACCAATACCATTAAATCTCGGATGGGCCATATTCAGGTCTTCTAAATAAATATTAGATGTAATCAAACATTTTTTCCCCCATGCTCTTGCAGTCCGTGACAAAGCTACATCCCATGTCTGAAAAAAATGCAAAAAGCAACAAGAACAAAATGATAACCATTTTTTGTGCTCTAAATGATTTTCCTTAAGGTTTTATAGTTAGATTTAAGAAAAACAGAATTCTAACATTGTACTTATGAATCTTGTTTGTAGAATTTCTATGGGAAAAACTTTTGATATGATCATAAAAAGTAACTTTTGTGAGACAAAAAAATCCTGAAAATATTTTATAATGAAAATATGTCAATGTTAGATGATATGAATTATTATAAACTCTTACATGTAATTAGTCTATTTAGAACTAGCAGTATCGATTTGAAATCCACTGAATTTTTATGTAATAACACAATGATTTAAAACATTATTAAGTCAAAAACTATTAAGCAAAGAGCTCTGGTAGCGTAGTGCCTAAGGCATTTGCTAACCAGAAGGTTGGTGGTTCAAACCCACCAGCCACTTTGCGGAAGGAAGATCAGGCAATCTACTCCCATAAAGATTTACCACCTCAGAAACCAATGGGGGTCATTATGAGTTAGAATTGACTCGATGGCAGTGGATTTGGTTTTTGGGTTTAAGTACATACAAAGTACTAATTATAAAACAGGCACACATAGAAAACCCTAGAAATGTGAGAAAGTATTAAAGATGCTGCTCCCTGCCTAGCTATCTAGAAATACCTAGAAAAGTGAACTTTTATTATCATTTAGAAGCTCATTAAGTTCAGTATTTAGTGAAGGACAAGAACAAAAACAATACACATAAGAAAATCTAAAAAACAGTTGTTATACCAAAATGTACCATCCAGGGACTATTACCAAGTACCTATGTTACAGTATATCTAAAGTTAAATGTTTTTGAAAAGCAATATTAAGATTCCTTACAGTTTTTTCTTAGTTAAATAACTTTACAGATTATAATCAAATAAACAAAATATTTAAACAAAGCAGATATTTAGAATATCCCACACCTACTTCCTTTCCCAAAGGTAACAACTGTTAAAAAAGTGTTGCCTTAGATACCTTTATCTTTATTCATACACACACACACACAAAATTTTTTTTTGTCTCTTTTAATGCCTTTCATCTTCACTTCTGAATTGCTTTATGTTATTGCTTCTTTTTTTGATTAGAATTTTTGTGATAATTTGAATTCATCTCTTTTCAATTTTTTTTATGTATAATTTTTTTGCAAATGACAGAAAGCTGGATTTTTGTTGGCTTAATCAATCTATAGTTCTTGATTAAGAAGTTTAATTTGTATTTCCTATGATAACTGACATACTTAGTTCATTTTTCATTTGATGTTTGCAACATATTATTACTTATTATCATTTCCTGTTTTTTTTTTCTCTCTTTACATTGAAAGTTGATTAAATATTTTTTAATTCCTTGTTCCTTCTCTGTTAATTCAGAAATTCAAGTAGCTCTTCACATCTATTGGCCATCAATATCCCATCTTTAATGATCATATTTAAAATTATAGGTATAAATTAAATTATCAAAACTATGTAACTATATTTACTTTCATTTTGATGTTTTATTTGTCTACTTCTTCCCCTCATCCCTGAAGACAGGAAAAGACTTTAAGAATGCCAGCTCCACTATTCTAAATCATGGATTTTGCTGTGAGTGTTCAGAATTATTTTAATATCTAGGTATTAACATTGTTTTCTTATCATATGGTCTGTTGTTTCAAGAATACTTGTTTATCACTTAATTATAATTCCTAGTGACATCATCACTATGCATTTAGAAATATATTTTATTCTTAAAAATATTTTAATTTTTGAACAATATGTCCAATAATTACAAACTCAAGATTACAAAAAATCATTGAAAAGTCAGTTATTATCTTGCTCCTCACCCCCAACATTCCATTTCCCCCAGGCATTCAATTGGTTCCTTGTAGATCTGTCCAGTGTTTTTTATGCAACATGTTTTTTCATGCATTTCCTTTCTTACACTGCAAAAGGGATATGGAAGAAGCATCCTTTAACCTTCTCCAACCTCATGATGGGGAGAGAGAATGATCAATAGCAACAGCTCACAGCTGATTCCCATAAGGCAGAAGTCAGACATGATGCCACCCTCCAATTTTCTTACCAATTCTGACACCAACTATCCTTCCCAGAGCACTCTCTACTTCCCTCCTGGGTTCAATAATTCATTGGAATGGCCGCACAGAACTTACAGACAATACTCATAATTATGGGGAAGTAACAGGTTACAATTAAGGCTCAGGAATGCTCAGGATAATGATTTTCATTTAGGACAGCCTTCCCTCTGCCATGCCCGTAGGCACACCTCTCTTGGGCCTTTGGCCTTTCAGCCTGGCCTCTGCTTCGCTTGGACAAATGTTAGGAAGTTCTTTTAGCTCTTCCAATAGGTGCACCAAGGTATGCTCCACTCTACCAGCAAGTCTTCTGCCCAAAGGTGCTCAGCTCTCTTGCTCTGTGGGCCTACAAGTCCACCGCTCTGTCTTGTGTTGGTCTCCTGGTTCCACTGCCACTGTCTCTCTTCTGGTCCCTCTGCTGTGGTCTCTGTCATCTTTCAGCAAAGGGATCTTGGGCCCAAAGACACTCCACTCTCAGCTTTTCTCTATCTTAAGGATATTGAGATCTCCCTTTTCCACATCTGGGAGGGCTCATTTTAAGCCTAGCGAACTGACAGAACTGACTAATCCCCACATTAGGGTTCCATATACCTTATTGCCATGGTCTCACCCCCGTAAGTGTGCCATGTACCTTATTTACATTACTAACATCTATCCAAACCCTTTGGCAGGCCACAAAGCATCTCACATTTAGATAGCTCTACCCAGTCAGGTGGTGACTGGTGAAACTCCTGAAGACTATGGCTAGAAGAGCCATACTAAGGAATTCACTGAACCACATATA